GAGCTGGCTTGTTAACAGACACCATTTTCCTTTGTTTAAGGCTGTTATACTGGAAAATCATTACTCAGTGGCTAAATCCACAGCTGGAATACAGTGAAGGTGTAAAAGCAACAGAAGATATAACTCTATCAGCCATATATATGGCACTTGTACTATATTATCAAGCAAAAGAAAAAAGTAGCCGTAAGCAAGTATTACAGTACCTGCTTATGCTACAGGAACATCCAGGACTCCCATTTAAGAAGACAGATCCCTAATTTATGCACAAATTCAGACTATGCTTATACCCTTCTCACCTTCAGCTTGGATACCAATTTATTTACTGTACTTTTACACAGAAATTTAGAGAGTGTTTGCAAGGATTCCACTTCCATTAGAATTTTAGTGTACAGTGTACCAGGAGCTACCAGTTTGGGGTGACATTCCACTACTTGCAGCAGTACCTCTGGCTACTGATAAAAGATCAGCAGACTGCCAAGAAAAATAGTCACTTTATCCCATGTGGGAATGTGTTAAAGCAAATCTTTAAGCAAAAAAGCTCTAGTCTCAAGTGCCCCTGCTTACCCCCCAGCTGGGGACAAAGGCAACTCGCATACCCAAGAGTAGCAGTTTAATGCAAAACTGTTGCCAAAGAAAAGCTTCAGAACATCTAAACTAACAGACACAAAATCATTACCAAAACTATTTTATGACCCAACTTCACACAAGTAGTACTGCTGCATGTTGAGGTCCAACTTGCATTCAAATGTGCTGCTGGGACAACTTTCCCTTCAGGTGTTGATCTCAACAGCTGCACTGGAGCAGTGGCTCATAGTGGGAGGTGATAACCAGCACCGACATGTCCTAGAGCCGCATAATACTGTGTCATTCTCAGATTTGAAGAACACACTAGTCTGGGTTTTAGCAGTTTTGCATCACCATGCCTCTACCCACTTAACTTGGCATCTAGTTTATAGCAAGCACTTAATTGCCAGTGTGTAGATTCTGTTACTCCTATTGCTAAGTTAGTTTAGGTGCTGTACTATAAGAACAGCAGCACTGTCAAGGCTGAAGCAAGGAAGCTTCTAATAAATACAGATTAACATATTCCAAAAGACAGCATCCTTTTATTCCACAAGGGCGAATACGCAGGCTACAGCAATCACTTGCTAACTTGCTCAGACTTCCTACCTAATTTGTCAGTCTGCCCCATGCCTCAGTTTCCCAGACATTAAACTAGAGATAACAAAAACCTCACCAACTCACAGGGCTGTTCTCCTGAAATGCTCCACTGCAATTACAAGCTTCACAGGCTCAATGGGCCAACACAGATAAATAACAGTTCAAAGCTGGAAGTACAGAGCTTGAATTCAATCATCCAGGATATTTCTGACACCTGAAAAAGAATGCAGCTCCCTACATTGCTATAACTTTAATGCAGAGTTCAAAATGCAAGGTAAAGCTTTGAACTTAGACCTTGGCAACTAAAATCCTTTAATAGGTAGCTTCCAGCTATTTTAATTTTACAGCAGTATATGGAAAACTTCAAGGAGTATGCAGCTGGAAGCCTCTAGAATATCAACAACTCTACTTATTTCCTAAAAAGCTGAAAAAGATCAAAGGAGCAGCCTAACAATCACAAAAGCCCGTGCAATTCTCTCTAGTAGCTCTTAAACTTTGTTCTGAACACCTATCTCCAGATCAGAGTGGAAACTGGAGATGAGAAGAGCCACGACAGAGGGATTACAGTATATCTGATTTGACACAAGAACAGGCAAAGACACTGCAAGCATTGTTCTTTCCTTCTACTAAAGTTTAGGAAAATAGGAGGCATTCTTTGCTCGAACTAAACCCAGCATGAAATCCAGAGAAACTCAACAGATTAGGACCCAATTTGTATGTAGTTAAATGTTATTAAAAAATTATGCTACTTAAATATCAAGAGCATTAAAGGGTTCAGCTTCTGCCCACAATGACACCCTTATGACTGTCCCATATTCATGCCCTCATATAAGTTTTAAGTAATTTTCCAAGGATTCTTGGAAACATCCATACCTATTTCACCAGCCTGCAAGTGTAACTGGAGATTACTATCCTCCAGAACATCTCTGCACAAAATTCATTCCACTCAAACAAAAAGGAAATCAGAGATCACACTTGAAGGCATAACAAGACAGCACAAGTCCTATTGGAGTTTAGCCTGTCTCAGCCATTTTCCTCTGCAAACCTTTCCTTCCAAGTGTGCTTAAAAATTCTTACTTTGGAAGAAAGCCTAATTCCCAAGGACTATGTCTCCACTGATAAAAGTGTCCTAGTTCCCATATCTTAAAGAAAGTTTTAGACATGCTGTGCCCCACTTCTGGTCATCAAAATGACTTTTCAGTTATGATTGTTATGACTTTTTAATTTTTTTGTTACCTAATTCCCATTTCCATCCCCATACACTTAGAATGTAGACATCTGCCTTTCTGCAAGTCTCTCCTTTCCTCTAAAATTAACAAGTCTCTGTCTTCTTTCACACACGGAACTCAAACCCTTTTGAAAACACTAACATTTTATACTGCACTGCAGCTTTTACTTGAGCATGTATTTTTTTATTCCATTAATCAAGAGTAAAGTTCAAAGCAACTTTTTCTTTTTAAAAATTGTATTACAGGAAGAAATGCAGGTGTACGATAAGGAATAGAATTAGTTTAACATTCTTTTATCAACTAACAGGAGATGTGCTTCTCTTCTTCTACACTCCTGCAGCTTTGACAGCACATTATCTCACACCTCATATCATCACTTCAAGCTTTTCCTTACACAAACTGGTATTTAGCCAGGCAAGAGTCACAGTTTTCCTTCCAGATACCTCATCAGTCACCATTAAGTAACAATTAAAATCAGCAAGGAACAGAACAAGGAAAAACATCAAAAGAAAAAACAGCTTCAAGCCATAGTACTCTTTGACACAGTGTCTGGGACCACTGATTTAACTGGAAGTGTTTACAATAACCAACTTGTAAAAGCATCTTCTTTACTCACAAGTACACATGGAGTGACCATGATGAACTTGCACATATAATTCAAAGTGCTGTTATTTTTTTCCAGGTACTAAGATAGTCTGCTATACATTTTTCAATGCATAATTACTTTTTTTTGCACAAAATAAATGAGGCTGCCCAAATCCACCTGGATTGCATATCAAGGGATGCAAAACAGCAACTCTGTCAGAGGCCTAGCTTCAGCAAGTTGAGAGAACTGGCCCTGTCAGGACAGAATCAGTTTCTCCAGAAAAGTATGCTAACTTATGGGGTTTTACAGTTCCATTTTTAAGCTCTGAGATATGTAATCCTACCAATTATGAGACTGACAGTTCTGGGGACCGTCTGAAGTCTCCTAGAAACACTGACACACACAGTACAGGTGTAACCTCCTGGCTCTGGAAATGTGCTGAAAAGTCTGCCTGGAAATTTACATTGCAATGCCTAGTTGACACATGGAGATACTGCCTTCTTCCAGGCTGAGGCTTGTCCCACTATTGCCTTGCTCTATAAGGCAGATCCAACTCAATCACACATGCATCCTTGTGCATCCTTTTGCCTACTGTCTTTTCTTCGGGGCTCCTCAGAGGATGTGTCTGGCAAGCAGGGTTTCCAGGCTAAGCAGCAGAGGCCAAGAAACGTTTAAAATTACATAACTCCTTTAACAAAATTAAGGATGAAAATATATTTTATTCTGCTTTTGACTCAGTGCACGTGCATATGCTGCGGTGACCCCAAACCAAACCTGGACCCAAACTCTCAGTATTTCATACAGGACACAGCCATTAATCAAAGCTATAAAACCTGAGTTTAAAAGAGCTTTCTTAAGACAAAAGGCCACTTCCTCCTTGCAACCCTTTGTTACCTCAAGGGTATATTCAGGCCACATGATGAAAACTAATGGGGTACAGGACAAGGAAATAATTTCCTATTGAGAACAGGGGATCTCTCAATATGAGAGACTGAAAGTAACACCCAATCTAGGAAAGCCCGATGCCGGAAAAGCCAGTCATGCCCAGCCCCTAGCTAGTGCCAGACACTAAGCAAGAACTCCTGCCCTTACACCAGCACGTCCTTCCTGCTTTATTTAAGGCTGTAAGGACTCGTTCTTATCCAGCCCTGATAAGCAGAAATACATTTTTTTCTGACTCACACCTCATTTCCTACTCCCCATGTAATTTTAAGGAATGTTTCCAGCGTGTGATCAGACACTCACAGGACCTGTCAGTTTTACTGATGCAAGTTGTTTACCTTCCCTCAGCTCTCTTAACATCTGTAGGCGTGCCACAAATTACCTGTAATTGCAGGAGCCTTGATTTGGTGTCGTAGCTAGCCGTACGTACTTCACATAACGCGTTTACAGAGAGCTGCTGGGAGGTGAATGAAGATTTGGCCGTGAGTTAAACGCTGAACCTACAGAGACACGAGCTTTCCCAACCAAAACTGCTCGCGGAGTTCGAGCACCCCCCGAGGCGCTCAAGCGGGAAGCGGAGAGCGCCCATGCCGAGCAGGGCAAATCCTGTCGGGACAGGGCGAATCCTGCGGGGACAGGGTGGGGGCAGCGCACACGGCCCCCCCGCGCCCCCCTCACTCCCTCCCCGGCGGGCAGCGCCAGCAGAGCTCCCGGCGGCGCCCCCCCGGCCCCGCAACAAGTGCGGCCTCAGCTGCCCGGGGGAGCTGCCCGGGGGAGCTGCCC